TATCAGGATGACTAAAATAGCAATTAAAAAAGTATTTTTATAACTGAGTGACAGAAAGCAATTTTTTCAAAGTAAAAGCAACATTAACAAAAAAGTAATAGCTATAATTATGCAAATTCCAGAAACTATTTCAAATACTTTTCCTGTACTAATGCAAGAAATCCTTGAAACAACTTTAGAGATATTATTGACGTATAGTTCTGAAATGAGTTGGAACCCAGTGAAGTCCTACCACTCACCAAGTTCATACAGTCTGCAAAGAACAAGGAATCCATCCAGATAGTGTAAGTATACACAGACTAGGGCCTAGCCACTTTGCTACACCTGCAGACCACTGTCCATCACTACGCAAGGTGATTTGTCCTTCACAGTGATTCACTACCTGTGAATTTAAGACTATGGTGTAGAAAATGTTGAAAACATAAAAATGATATTGTCAGTGAACGTGAAAAAAATAAAATAAAAAAACAACTAAAATATTCACTTGATTTTATAATTTTTCTTCACTTGAATTTAAGGACCTAAGGATCTGAATTCTGAATTTAATATACATAACAACTTCTTAATGTTTGGGACTTTAAAATATTGAGAGAAAATAAAGAGAAGCTACAGCAGATCCATGGAAAAGCTTCCAAAGATGAAATTACAACCAGTGCTTGGGCAGTTAGAAAAATGTGAAGCATCAACATTCCAGGAAGTCACATGTTTGAAAGAAAATAATGCACAAACGAAAGTGCAACTACTCAGGACTGAACATCTTCACCAGAAGAACCAGTCCATTAGCCCTGAGACGTCTTTCCACGAGGTGTCCAGGGTTGAGCCTAGAGCCCTTTTTAAGTTATCCACAAGAAGGGATAAATAGAATATGAATTCACTGTTCGGATAACTTTGAATTGGGTGAGGTTTCTAATGATATAAAGAGAGAAACAAAGTAAAATCAAATAAACTATTCCTTTCCTTGCAAATAAAATTCCTTCCAGGTTTGTTCCTGAACTGGACAATTTATCTCAGGACACTTAGCTAGCAGGACAAGCTTCCCTACTCTGTCTGACTAGGTGACAAAACCTTGCTTTAACAAAGCAACACCTGATTTTTCTTTCAGACACAAGGATTAGGTCTGAGATGTAGCAGAAAGCAGTGGGTAAAAGCAGGCCTTTGCATTCACACGGTCCAGACATAGTTCTAGCCATGTGATCTTGGGTGCATTATTTAGTACTTTCATGCCTTGGTTTCTTCCTCTGCAAAATGGAATAATTAAGGGACTGTCCTCCTAAGAATGCTAGAAGGAATAAATGAGTTCATATATGTATAGTACTTAAATGAAACCTGACCTACAAATGCAAAGAAAATTATTGACCACAATTATTGCTA